GGGCGACATAACGACCAGGTATTGTGCTATAATGTGGCTGTGAGCCAGCTGATGCATGTTGATCTGTGAGTGCAGTTCTTAGACCCGGTTGTTTAGCCTGTTGGGTCACTGGGTGGTCAAAGGGACGGGCAGTTCAGAAGTTCATGAAACCTGTCCTCTGAGTGAACCACATAAGCCTCGGCTTGCCAGGTCACGTTCAGTCTTACTATAGATTTGTAAAATCTACACTCCAAAGGATATGCTCTGAGCTAACTTAGCCTAATAAGGTTCTCATTGTTAACCAGTTTGTTTTCCTTTGTGCGTTTGCTTTTGAGTCTCAGTATTTAGCAATGTAAACGTCTTTAGGCTGAGAGGATGTGACCCCTTGATGGAAATAGTCCGTAGAAAGAGGTCAGAGCTCGTAGAGCAGCTGACTGCTATATAACCAAGTAGACACTCCGACTGTTAGTTATTCAAATAATCTGATAACAAACCTTTTTCCTGCCATGACTCTAGAAAATATATTTATTATTGATTACTATGATTGATTGATTACTTACATTAATGACCTAATCAATAATTTTGATGAGAAAAATATGATGAATTCTTATACAAAATCAATATGATGAGGGCATTCTTTAAGTGGACAAATTGATGAAAAATATGACATAGAATGAAAAGATTAGGCAGTCTGATTTAACAAATAATAAGAACATCAATTTACCCTTTTGTGGCCATATGTCCTGAGTCAGTCCTTAGATCTACTGCCTGGTAAAGCCGGTGTCATGGATCATTGCAGAGGGATTTTAGATGAACCTGCGAGGTGTTTGCAAATTAAGAGTCCAGTTATCAAATATAACTTTGGCATTTCAAGAGGGTGATCCTTTTTAATTTGCGGTGACGGAAATTCAAACTGAGGAAGAGAGCAGGTGTAGAGCTGATGGTTTTTCAGGCGGTGAGTGCAGACAGTTCCCCTAAAAAGCATCCTTTCTTCTTTTAGCCCAGTCTGACTTTGTTTGGCCATGCACGGTTGAGCCTTCTCGTTTTCAGAAAAAAAAGGTCACTCCAAAGTGAGTGGAGAAGAGCAACTTCCCTAAAGAAAGAATAAAGGTGAAAAAACTCACATGAAGCAGATGTGTTTCTGTCCCAATGTCAGCCCGATTTTATAATAATGATAAATAATAAATTAGCTTGAAATATTCTTTTAAGCATATGGGCCTGAGAATTATACAAGGCGTCTTGTTTGTAGAACTCGTAAATAAATCTATAAATCCGTCCTCCAAGCATATGTGTGTATACTTAAAGGCAGCAAAATGAAGGCTCAACAGCAATATTTTAAGTTTTCAGAAGCAAATGTGTGCAGGTGGGGGTAAAAACGCCTACAAAAAAGGAACAGCTACTCTGTTTAAACGTCCAATAAATGTGAAAGTGAGGCAAACATTTCCTTTCTTTATTCCCCATCCCGCATGTTTAGGAGAACGCCACTCGCCTTGATTACAAAGTGGGGAAGGTTTTGTTTTCGTGGGCTGTTCAGCTTTCCTTTTGTGTCTTCTGTGGAAGGTATGATGAGAGCCGGCTAACTTACTGAGATTTGGAAATGAGTGTTCTGGGGAGATCTGTGTCCTCAATGAAAATATTCTTTTAGTTTGACAAATAGAAAAAAAATAAACATTTGAAATTCTGCCAACAACATTAGCAGGAAGCAGGATAGAAATGGGGATGATGAGGACCGACACATTAATGGAATAGAGAAGAAGGGAGAGGAGAGGAGCGCTTTTTGACAGCAGAGGTGAGGGGTCAGATGCAATCAGCACCTCTGTAATTCTTCTCAGCAAGTCAATTCTCTGTTTTGTTTGTTTTTAATATTGTCTCTCCTCCCATCCTGGATGTGTTTTTATGTGTGTGTGTATGTTGGAGTTGGCAAAGGAACCGGTGGAGAAATAAGGAGACGTGGAGCTGACTATCAGATGACACGTGATTGTGTGGTTAGCCTCCATGTTTTGGACTTTGATTATCTTTTTAGGGGGTTACTCCGGAATAAAGTGTTGCATTTTTTAAATTTTATCTTCGTTTCTTGGGACGAGAGGTTAAAATGATGCATTATGTACAAAAAAATTGCAAACATTTATTTCTCTCTCTGCTCCCATCTAACCTTTTTGGTCTTGTCAATCACCCTTGTTGCCATAGTGACAATAGGAACTGCATTAACATGGAAATAGCACATTAAGTATGCTTGAGTTTGTATGTTTGCCATATGGCGTATGTTACGTCTCATCCAGTGTGTCTGGTGTCTTGTGGGTTTTCAGTTAACCCTCCTCTGTGCATATGTGTGTGTCTGTATGTAGACAGATTGGCACGGCCCAGATGAGTGGGTTCCTCCCTCTCCGTCACACACACATCCAGCTGTCATTAAACCGGAGCTGACTCGAAACATGCCCTGTGACACATGACCCTCATGCTCACGAGCACACTAAGCAGCTTGTTCTCTCATTAAGCACAGCTGGCTCGTGCGAAAGTGTGTCGGCTTTTGTGTGTTTGCATGTAGAGCGGGGAGAAAGTGTTGTTGAGAAAACAACAGGGTTGATAATTGGACTTGTCCCCCCGAACACGGGCAAACAAGTACTTTCCCCTCCCTACCGAGGAGCTATAAACATGTAAATGAGAATGTCGCTCTCCGCCTCTCCCACTTGCTCATTCGTCCCCTCCATTCCATCACTCATCACCACGTCCCCGCTACAATCAGCATGTGTGGGAGAGCAGGGACATATTGTCTGGCTGGTCCTGGCAGGGACGCTGGCAGAATATGAAGGCTCCGCATGGTGATTAATGTGTCTATTAGTGCGTGGACAGCTTGTGTTTTTCAAAGACATAAAGGTGACAGCTAACCGTTGAAGTCTGAGCCTACGAGAAGTTTTGAAGGTAAATACAGGAGAGAATCGAGTCCTGTTTCCCTGTATGTTATTAGATGTGGGCTCCATAAACACTTAGTTACAGCTTAAATATATAAAATGAAATATTTATACATATATGAAAGACAATTCCAAGAGCATTGAGAACTAAGCACAGTAATAACTGCTACATCAGTGGGTAAATGAGGTAATGCAACACTAGCATTCAGATCCTGGACCTTTGTGTCCACAGAAATGGATAAAGAGTGGAGTCGAGGTGTTCCTCAGACCTCCTGTCATGCTGAGTGTGGGGTATCAGATGAGGCTGAGACCCTGCCTTGAACTCCAGCTATTTGGAATCTAAGAAACAGAAAAATTGATCTTCAAATGAAATTAGATGGTGTCATGATCATTGGAGTCAAACCTTACTTGCCTTCTAGCTAAAGTCTGGGGTCAGTGTGGTTTTGCTCCAGGAACATGTCCAAAGCTTCATGCAGCAGAGAAACTTGCAGTTTTTTAAAACATAGGAGTTTTCTTTATACTTATTTCCCTATTATCACACGTATGGCTAACTTCAATATACTTTTCAAAAGTTGAACTAATAACGTTAACCACAATTCCATTTAAAACAGGATTTTTAGAAGTCTCTTATTTAACCTGGTAGTTAGTCGAGCAGCATTTCAGTAAATGTAGGAAGTCATTTATCTTCCTCCTCCTCTTTAGGAGTCTGTATTAGCCTAAGTAGTTGGACTTGTTGGGGAAGGAGCAGTGCTGCATTTACACAGAAAAGCTTCCATCAGTATCTATACAACACTCTCAATTGTGACATCTTGGAGGCCACAGGAAAGGTAATTTGAGCAAAAGAAAATGATACCTTCAGGTAAAAAGAAGGCAGATCGAGCCGTGGAAAGGAGAAAGTAAAAAGAAACGAAGAGAAAAATACTCTGTGATTTACGCAAAAGTCCAAATGACGGGGAATTGACCACGGACACCTGACTGTGTTATTATATCACCATCAACAACTGCATGCTCCTCTGCCAGAGGGAAGGATGGAGAAAGGCGGCGAAGAAAGGAAAATAAAAAAATAAGTGAAGATCTCCCCAGCACAAACAAACAAACAAAAAAAAAACCCTGAAACAAGTGTGTTTTCTTTGGGTTCGTGCTGCGGGTGCAAGGCTATCAATTCAACCTCCCTGTGGTTTTTTTAAATGGCACCATTGCTCAGCTCTCTTTGTTGTTGTGTTGTTTGTCAGCGTCCAGGCGGGGCCAGGCAGAGGAGGTGGTATCAAGACGAAGAAGGGACAATTTGATGGATGTTTGTTGATATCTAGACCACTATGGTTCTGATTGCCTAACATTAAACCAGCAATAACAGGCCAATCATCCCACTTACACCTCCACACGCCAAACAGCCGAATTGGATCAAACTGGCTTTTTCTCTCTGTCACTTTCTTACTCATCCTCTCTCTGTCTCTGTCTCTCTCTGTCTCTCAGTCGATTTCTTGCTCTTTTCTCCTCTCTCCTGACATGCTTATTAGCTGATATTGATCCAGGCTGGTCAATTGTCAGCTCCTCTCATCCGCACCGTATTGACGGCATAATCAGTTAGAGAGAGGAATGGAGGTAGAGACAGTGGGAGGGAGGGAGGCTGAGGATGATAGGCAGATGAAATTTTCTGTCAGTGGGTAAATTATTGGCTGCTGGCTTGTTGACCCACACAACAACTCATATCTCCTGGACACACACAAACAACACAGAATCCATCTCATTCATGGCGGGTAGTTTCATTTTTGAGGGCATTCAAAGAAGGAACGTTGTCTACGCGTGCATTGTGGATTTTACTCACAACTGCTGTCAGCTTCTTTCCTAAATGTTTACTGTTCACTTGGCAGTGTGTTAGGCAAGCTTAAGTTCTTTGTGTCGCCCACAAAGCGAGTGTTATCAGGTGCGTACCTAAAACCAGGAAGTTTGACTTTGTCTCAAAAGCTGTTTTCAAATGTATTTCACGGGCCAAATTATTATCTGTGTGCGCTTCATGCACTGGTTGGGGTATAGCAGTATAATTAGAAAATGAAATCTTATTTGATAAGTGGAGTGTCGCATCACATATGCCACTTGTGTTGTGGCTGTGCTATGACTCCCGACTACCCTGCCTCACTGCCCAGCTTCAGGGCTCCGTCTCTGGGGAGGGAAGCAGCTGGCATGGCCTCTGACTTGCTGGAGGGCTCACGTCCATCTCGGATCCTCGGTACATCACACACACACACTCGCAAAAAAAAATCCTCCCCGCTTTTGCACACGGCTCGTTCTGCACATTAAGGTTTAATCAGGCACTTAGCCGGGCATCTGTTACGGCTCCGTCCACACGGCGCGTTAAGGACCTGTCGCCGCAGGTTACAAGCCCAACAGATCCGCAGACTGATAGAGCCCTGGCCCACTTACTGGTCCATGCCCAGCTGTGTCCGTTCAGACTGAGAAATGTTTGCTTCAAAACTGCATTAAGTAAGATACGTTTTTACTGATCGTTCCCTGATCCGAGAAAATGGGGAAAGGAAGGAAGAAGATTTTTTTTGAGAAACTTCTTTGAAGCAAAAGATGATTGTTAAATATGTCCTCACCTCTGTTGGGTTTGTCACCTGTGAGGTGTTATCGAGGGGAAAAAATAAAGAAGCGTTCTGATGATGAAACAGCTACATAGTAACTGGAGATCAGTTCGCGTCGACGCTGTAGCATTTAACAGGTTGTGGATAGGCAATGCTGATTCCTCTTAAACCAGAGTTTATTAACGGTACAGTTACTAATTTCCTTTTTCACCTCAAGCAATACCACTGAGTTTCCAATATGGAGCATTTTCTCTTTGGAAAGGCCATTTATATATATATATATATATATATGTATATATATATATATATACACACATTTATATACATTTTACTTGACCTGTCTATCAATGGAAACATTTTTCACCTCGTGCAATTTTATGAAGAAGTTCAAGGATTACCTTGAATGTATTGAATTTTTGGACATAATAGCATTCTGTTATGACTTTTCTTAATCACATTGTCAAGCCTTGCTGTTATTAACGCTTAACAGAGCAAAGTTCTCTGTTAGTACAGAAGACACCTACAACACAAGAACTCTAGCAAACTGTTGAGTGAATATCTCGATTTAATCTGACACCTGCACCTGAAACAGCCGTGCAAAAGTTGCCTTGTATTCACGCACACATTTCCCCACCTGTGTGCACAACAGCGTCAACTTTTCGGGGTGACGTTGACAATTTGATCCGGCAGGGGAATCTCATCCCCCCCGCGACAAGTAAAATTAGCTGCCAAGCAGGAATTGTTTTCTTTCTTTGCCTTTCCTTTTCTGACTACAGCTGTGTCAGTGGAGGCTCTGCTGGGTGGCTTGCCACATGGTTTCTCCTCCCTGTCACCGTATATATGCACACTCGCACGCTGTTTCGCTCCTGTCAGCCTCTCTGTTGTGCCTGACAATTTAATAGCTCGCCTTAATAGCTCCCTGTGAGTAGATTTGAGCTCTCCGCCTGTGTGTGTTTACACGCGCTTGTCACGCCTGCAATATTCCTATGGGAATGAGAGGCATCGCTTTCTATAGGATGGGCGGTGCCGGAGGAGGACTTTTTGTTTTGTTTTGTTACCTATTTACACTGTTGAAGTTTATTTTCACGAAAAAAATCAGTTTTTTGTATTTTATTCTGCATCTCTGTATGTTTTTATACATTACAAGTTTCATGGCATTAACAAAGAAAAATCAGGGGTGACTTTGGAAGGTAAATTACTGTGTTTATGATATAGTCCTCCATGAGCATTTTTTAATGGCTAGAGAAGCAGGAAATTTGTATTGAAAATGGTGCTTGATAGATCCACATTAGTACTTTTTCTGCCTGAAAACTCTTAATGTTTGTCATAGCTACGCAGCAGTTTTTTGCAGCAAAAGACGGCTCCTCTGCTGATAGTGTATTTTTAAAAGGGAAGCCAGCATCCACACGCAGAACAGGGACGGTCAGTTTTTGAGTCTCCCTTTTCGCTTCTCCTCCTCTGCCCTCCATTGTCAGAGGAGCGGACAGTCCCGGCTGCCGCTGGCCCGGGACTTATCTTGACACCAGAGCAGCAATCAGCGGCCGGGAGATTGAGCGCTGTTTATTTTGTGTCGGTGTGTTTGCCACGACCCGGGAGCCAGGATGCAAACACGCGCACATCCACACACACACACACACACACACACACAGATTCATTCACTGTTTTGCTTTTTCAATCACAACCCACCCCTGTTTAAAATGAATGGATGATATCTTGGTTTTCACTATTCACATCTCTTTCTCTCTCTCAGCAGTATGACGCTTAATCTCAGTGTTGCTCCGTTCTGTCTGATACAGGGCAACACCAATGCATTTTTATTCTCTATCTCATATTGCTTTTTTATTCAAGCCTCTTTTGTGTGCCTTTGTGTGTGGATGTGTGCTTTTCTGTGGAGTTTGGGTTCAGCAAATTTAGACTGCGTTTGCGAGGGTGTGCATGGTTTAGTGCCTGTGTCTATGTGCAATCTTAAGTTTGCTCCCCAGGGGTGGAGTAGAACAGTTTAATATACTAAGAAGCACCACCTGCAAATGCTGTGAACTTTTAAAACCTCCCCTAACTGACAGCTGACACTGTCCCTGCTCAGGATGGTGGTTTCTCGAATCAAACTGGTCGTGTCGGATGGTGATTGGGATGACTGGTGTGTCACTGTGTCAGGGGTATGTGTGTGTGTGTGTGTGAGAGAGAGACGGAGAGAACAGGAGAGATGAGGAAAAGCAAACAAGAAGAATGAGAGAAACTTACCCTCCCACACAATTACTGACCCCAGCTGTTTCCCTGTGTGTGTCCGTGTGTGTCTGTTTGCTCTTCCCCTCTCATCCACCTCGCCCCTCTGACAGGTGGCTGTTGTCAGTGTGCCTCCCTCACAGATGCCACTTATCGAACAGTACAGTCAATCAAACCTACATCATCACCCCAAAGAAAGTTGGAATCTTCATCGGAAATTTTCAGCCTTCACCGACGTTCCAAATGCTCCGGAAACTCGCACATAGATGCTTTGCCACAGAGAAAACTGCTTGGATCTCCTCCCCACATCCATATTCTTTAAGTACCACATGAAGACTGTAATAGCCTCAGTTATCTTACCAAGCCTTAGGTTTTGAAATATTACAAGCACTGTGACAAAATGAGTTTGTTTCTTTCTAGTCACGTTGATGTTTGTGGGGAAAAAACGAGGGGTTATCTGAGTGACTACTGAATAGACATAGTGGCATGCTGCTCCGATTAATTACTGCAAAGCAAACTGTGAGGTTATGGATCAGTCGATATCACCTGCTGGGCTGAATCAGACAATCCCAAATGCTTCTCACTTTGTAATCAATTTAGTTACTTGGATACAGCATAAAGATCAGTCTGCTTCATTGCAATATCATACGCTTGCTCTTTTGCTTGGATGTTTTATTAAATGAAATTGTCAAAATTGATAAATTAATGGGGAAAATAGTATACCGGGCAGGACAATGGGATTTGGCAATATTGCTCTGCAGTAAAACCCGTGTGAATGCACAAAGTAATATGTTGCCGTAGTGGGTGCGTTTTGTTCTGCGTGGGCAGCCTCACACACAGATGCAAACACACCCAAAGTGTGAGGTGTTATAATCCGTTCCAATCCCTCACAGAGAATATCCATTTTAGCGTTCCGTGTCCAGTTACAATACAACGTTCTCCGCTTGTCGATTAAAACTTTTATGATGAGTCTTTGTACTCAAATTGATCAAGTCTCATCCGTGCTTTTTTTAAAACAAAGCATTGTTATTCTGGTTGAAATCCCTCGGTCATGTCATTTTCTTGATGACTTGATTGACTTGGGTTGATCTTGAAGTTCGAATGATTTCTTTTGTAAAGTTTTTAATGGTTCTTTTAGGAAAATGTCAATAATGAAAGATGTCCAACTTCTGTTTATCATGCTAGTAAAATTGAATTCTGTCCAACAGAATGACTGCGGTTTATTTTGAGAAATTACAGCTTACAACCAGTTATGCTAACTGGTTTGAAATTTGAAATTTTCATGATTCGAGTATTGTCCTCAGGATCAAACGTCTTCTGATTGGCAGACGACCACTCTGAGCTGCGGCTGAATGCAATGTAAATGCATCATCACAGAAAAATACAATGTTAGGAAGATTTTTAGCACCTCAAAATGAAAATCAGCACGAGTCATTTCAACTGACCAAAATTTGATGTAAGCCACCGGGATTAAGTTTAGATAATGGCAAATATCTAATGGCTGGTGAAAACATGATAGAGACACAGTGTGCGGATGCAGTAATCACAAATGTTTGTTTTTTTGGTGATTACATGAACTACACTGTGATTACGTCTACACCTGTGACTCAGGGGGAGAGCTGTTGTTTGCCAATCAGGGCGGGAGTACTTTGATAACCAGCATCCCCAGACCACATATCCCTGTTCTTTGGAAAGACACTGAACTTCATGCTGCCCCTAAAGAACTCTTCAGACAAAAATGTGTTGCACACAGACAAGAGTGTGGAAGCACATTGACTGATCTACAAGAAAAGCAGTGCAGAGATTTTGAACATTCACTATTTATTCATAATTTGTAAATTTCCAATTTGGCTACTTTATTAGACCAAAAACAGACAAATTAAAGTTCTACCGGTGTTTATCAATAATTTGTGTGGACAAGCACAAAGGATTGTGGGTCATGTTTTGTACTAGGAAATGTAATGTCCATAACAAGGAATGAATGACAGAAGTATTTATTTTTCTTTGACAGGGTGGCTGGGCTACTTTTAAACCAAAGAACAGACAGGTTGCATTGAGTGAGCCCACTTTACGACATGCACACATATATGTGTAGGTGGAGGTCCTCTGGGGTACAATAGAGGGCCAAGAGGCCATAGCCATTATGTTTAAGCGTGGCTGTATGAGTGCTCTTTTGTCACTTTGCACAATGGACACTCTCCGGAGGGTGCACAAGCAACTTTGTGGTGTATTTTACCTGGAACTCTGAAGACACTCGGCTACTCTTTTTATTTCTGCGTTTTGCATTATGATTTCATGCCACTGATTGTGTGTGTGTGCACCATTGTGATTTTCCTCTTTGACTCCTCGCTTGTAGAAACCTCCTTCTCAAGTCACCATCAGTGGCTCCCCATGGCCCCAGCAAAGGCAATCCCTGCCTGGA